GGGGCATTGTAACGTTTTACTCTACTTTGCTAGCAGCATCTTTATTTCACCTTATCAAAGATTATATTGTTTACACAAATACATCTCAATTATAGAAACAGAAATATTGAATATGTTCACTCGATTGAAACACGAAGTTCAAAGTTGTCGACAATCTTGTGACCACTAGACGGTAGCCGTGTTTGTTGACCCTGACCTGCTATTTTGACAGTAGCCGTGTTTGTTGACCCTGCAGTACAACTGCACCTGCACTTCAATGGCAAATCCCCGATACGGAGATTAACATCAAAAGACGAGTAGTTGTGATCAGACATGTTGTCCCAGACACGGGCAGAAGTATCAACTCCAAGCTTGTTAGTGCCGACGCTAGGATTGCTGAAGGCGAAAGTGACTAACATCTTGTTCATGGAATATTGAACGTAGCCACTGCAACCTGCCAATGCCCAATCACGTTCATAGCATAAAATGTCCATTTTCTGCCCATTTTCGATCGTATCTGGCCAACTGTAGGTATCAGCTAGTCTACCACTGTCAAACCAATCATTTTCATATTTCATTGAGATTCCAGATTGGTTATCGACAATTAGCCGTACGTTGTGGACCTTTACCATTCTAAAATCGTAATTGCGTTGTCCTTTCTAGAGAAAAAGACAAATATATCACTGCTGGATTGATGTACTGAATGCTGCCTTAGGTGGCCGGGAATGCAATACCCTGAAAGCTTGCCTTAAACAAGAAACAAATAAATAATATACTTCAGTCCGAAATAAACATCTTTGAAGTTTGGGATCAATCCTTTCCCCGTTGTCCCAAGTTATTTCAAAAACAGTCGTTATGCCGGCGAACTGCGCAATTAACTTTGGCGATTAGGTGGCTCTATAGTAATGTCTATAAACACGTGCACCTTGTAGCAGGAGATACTGCCAAGGGAAAAGGGGATAAATTATAAGCTGAGTCGCTGATGCCTAGCCTGCTCACAGACGTTGTTGTTCTTACGCCAAGCGACGAAAAACTACCGTCTGCTTACCCGAGCTGCATATTCAATTCCCTTTGTTTTAGGAGCCAATCATATGGCAGTGTTCAAAATAGTCAGAGCCAATTGGAAGCCGCCTTATTGAGAGATTAGCTACTAGGGAAAGCCCTTACACATGCATTGGAATATATTGTTTGGGTTGTTTTAATAAATTTATATTTTTGTTAACAATGGCAAACAATCGATCGGGAAACTCGAGTATATCAGGATATGTCCAAATGTTGCTCTTGATACTTCCTATATGACATGACTTCGACGAAAACTTCTAAAAGATTAAGCTCTCATTGTCATGTATAAAAGTATAGCCAAGTTAGAGTATAAACGTTTCGAAGTTTGGGCGAATTGGAAAATTCATCACGGCGCAATTTTACATTTAATACAAGTTTCTCGGGTTAACGTTTGTGTTGTGTTTACAGTTTACATTCAGAAGTGGTTGCTCAAACAGCAAATTAGTTTACTTTGAAGCTAATATTTCGCTTTCTAAGCCACAGCATTATATAAAATTTTCTGTCTTCCGAGTTCTGTTGTCTTATAAAGATAAACATCCGTCAATGGCAATGGCTCATGTTACAATCGCAATGTCATATATGCCAGACTAAACTTTCTCAGTTTATATATCGATTTCCCGCCACGGGTGGAAAGGTCAACTGTAAATTCCCCAATGTCGATCATATCCGAATATTAATTCTGTTGATTTATTATTTTTCTTCAAAAAGAACGAAAAATTTCATTTTATTGCAAACTGTGTGTAAAAAAACAAACGCTATTTCGCAGAGGCAGCAATAAAAATGCCGCTATCAAGCAATTCTGAATAGTACATACAATATGCATAGCGTGTGTAGGTTGAATGTTTGCGGTTGCGACCGGAAGTGAAATGCCACATTTAGTACTAGGAATTAGGTTTATACATTTCAAGGGAAAAAACATCTCACTCGCTAATATTGACGGAATTTTTAGACGGAAATTGCAAGTCTAAGGTTTATGCATTTAGCGATATCTATTTCCTTGCATTCATCGACATTGGTTGCCCCGTATTTAGTCGTGCTGCTAAAATAATTCATTGCATGCGTGCATTTGTTACATTCTGTTCGCGCTATGTTAATCAGCATATAGACCGTATTCTGTGGCACGATATCGTTCAGTTCCGTTGCCCGGGTTCGGGCACTACTTTGAAACAAGATAAATAATTAGGATAAATTATAGAAAGTTTAAATCCGCTTGTTTGCACTTCCCAAAACCTGCAGTTTTTTCTTCTTCGAAAATTGAAGAAATCGACATCTTTCGCAACCGATCGCCGCCATTTTGTTCAGGATACTTGGTGTAATAAACACTCTAAATGACGATTTTCGCGGGCTCATGCTCATTCTTACATGAAGTTTCCAGCTTAGCATTTGTAAACATGGCGTCTTCTGATTCATGTTTAATTCATTTTGATGGGAAAAAAGGCCCACTTACAAGTTTTAGTGTGGTTTCGTGTCAAAAAATTTTAGATTGTCGTAGAATTTGGCTAATGCTAGATGGGGAAGAACGCATTGTTGCTCAAAGATGTTTGCGGTTTGTTAGCGACAGCATGGAAGTAGCACGGTCGAAAATAAATAAAATATCGATGCAAATTTCTCTTAATATCATCGAGGTTGTTACTCGGCATTCACAAATAGCAGTATGATCAACCGAGCTCAAGAGCGTTGTCAGAATATGGACAAAGAAGGTGTACCTTCATCCTCTGGTCTCCATATTATTGATGAAGAAACGGAATCAGATGAATACGAGTGCGGGCCTGTGCGGCAGCTAAATCATGGAAGGAATCCCCACTTGTTGCCATGCGTTTAGCGTTTGTATAATTTGCTAATCAGAAAAGTCGTATTTCACTGAATCGGTAAGTTTATTGATTTATTTTTTTCACAATTATTGTTATTTTTCTAATATGTGTTTTATAATTTATATATATTGATTGCATTGCCTTTAGCCGCTCCCGTTATAACGGTTGTGTGATTTATATGCATGGGTTTTTTATTGTTTAGAAGTCGAAAAAGCGAAAGCTGGACAAAATTATATCTGTGAAAACAGTAGATGGTCTGCCTCGTACCCAGGCGCTAATAAATTTCATGCGAGTCACTATATGAGAGGTTTATATACTTCATGTAAACTCGCTATATGCGCATCACTGTTTTTTTACAGAGACGCCTGGGTACGAGGCAGGTAGATGGTGGTAAACTGAAAGAAGCTGCAACAAAGAAAGTTGATGAAAGTATTTTGATTCAAATTGGCATTGAAAGCATCCACGTACAGTATACAAGTGCAAGACTGAAAAAAATGTATACAGACAATTAATATAGTTGGCCTAACATTGAAAAACAACTTGTAAAGACTGTTGCAAAACATTGTACATCTGCTTGGTACAAGAACTGGCCACCACATGCATCAGATATTACTGGTTAAAACATTAGTATCACCTCTCTTGTTTAATTTTATGGCATGGATGCTTGGGTTTTCAGATCACCCAGAAGATGCTGACTACATTGAATTAGATGACCAAACTACATCCAAGATTTTTCTCTGTGTCAAAATTTGGTCTATATTTCTAATAGGGGGAAAGTACAGTACCCAAGTCCCTAGCACTAGCAATGACCGTTCGGCAGATGTTTGGTTGTTCTGGCCTGATATTTAAGATTTTGAGTGGTTTTGGACATTGTCTCTCACTATCTTTGGTAATGGCATATGATTCAGCTGTTGCACAGGCACCTATCAACACATCAACATTATTCCAGTAATATCTGATGCATGTGGTGGCCAGTTCTTGTACCAAGCTGATGTACAATTATGCAAGTTGTTTATCAATGTTAGGCCAACTGTATACATTTCTCTTAAATGTTGCACTTGTGTATGTTGATGTTTTCGTTACAATCTCAACATCAGAATCAGACTCTTGTGTGAACTCTGAGATGTTTCTATGTCATCATCCATAAAACTTTTTCTTGACTGAGGCACTCTGCATAAACAATTTCACTCTTGTTTCATAACTTTGGTCTATGGAAAACAAGTTGTGGAAACCTTTTACACATGTACTTTTCATAACATTGTTTATGGTATTCCACTTTCAATGCTAGGTCCTTTTCAGCAATTTGAATCAAAATACTTTCATCAGCTTTCTTTGTTCCAGCTTCTTTCAGTTTACCACCTACTGTTTCCACAGACACCATTTTGTCCTAAATAATAAAAATAGGTACGCTAGGCGTACATGTATCTGCGCAAAGGAATTCCATGTTTGCTATGAAAAAAAATGCATTCACAATTATTGAGAAAACGTTTAAATTTCGAAGTGACTATGCAGCCGGCAGCCAGCTATTTAGTAAACTGCCGGCTATATAGTGACTAAGAAAAAAATGCTAAGTCAAACAAAATACAACCCGACCTGCGTTTCACTTTCCGCACACAGTGTCTATACCATATACTCGAACGGCAAGCTCGGTGAAAGCTAGTGGAAACAAAAGTTTTTTATATTTAATATGGTCATGATATAACCGGCAATGATATGACAAAGAATGTTCAGATTGCAGTCTCTTCTCTACTGCAATCAACTGTCTGAAAGCCAGAATTGGTGTTTATAATAAAAACAGAATAAGAGTTATATATGAAATGGGTACAAAATTGCTGAGGTAAATACTGTACCAGTGGTGGATACTAGGGGGAGGGGGGCTGAGCCCCCGCCCCCTTATAATTTCGATAGACTGTAAAAATGTTGTACCAAATAACACAAATCACACTCATATAATAATACTATTAATAAAAACGTTGTTGTAATTTAATACCATTATTTAAAACAGTGTTTTGAAAACCTAGTTTTTTACAAAATGTGTTCTCACAATGCTGCAAATGCCATTTTTGGGGTCCAAATTTTAAAAATGTTCCGGGTGGCATGCCCACAAGCCCCCCCCCAATATTTCACAAAGTGTCCGCCACTGTACTGTACCCACATTTAATGTATGCTAAATGAAAAAAATACATAGAATCTGTAAAGAAATTTTATTAACTTTAACTCAGCTTATGAAGCAATCCTATAATCCTAAGATGTCCTGTGACTATTAATGCTCAATATAACAAAATTCTAACATAACATAATAATTCTGAATGCTGTGAATATATATATATAATGTACCGTATATAAACACAATTTTGACATCCCATACAGTAAATATTAATTATGAATAGACAATCGATATTATTTCAAAAAAAGCATGCATGGTTACTCACGAAAAAGCTTTACGATGTTACTTCGGGCAATGATAAGTTTATTCATGTTCTGATACCATCATTTACAAAACTTGCCACATTCATTTACGGATTTTTTAATAGCGAATAGCCAAATTCAGCAATAGTATAATACAGTACTCGAAACATGATCGTCAAAACTTCATAGTCATTACCATTGAACTAAGGGGTCACGTCCATATTCATATTGCCACGCATAACGTCGAATCGACGTTATGAGTGGGTGGGTGGGTTTATCTAAATTCTCTCGACGTTATCTCGATAATCTTGTGGCAAAATGACAATTTTGTGAAAGTTTTGAAGAATGTGACTGCCACGCTCGACGTTATTTAGGGTGGGTGGGTGGCTTTGAGTGTTAACATCGATTCGACGTTATGCGTGGCAACATGAATATGGACGTGACCCCTAATTATACTAAGCACTCACTCGGCTCAGTAGTGAAAGGAGTGGATGTTCGGAATAATCTTGATGTTAGCTTGACAAAAATAACATCACGATCAATCTTTAAAAAATCGAAAATACATTTATGAACAATAGTCAATACAATCTAGTGAACTTATATTTTAAACAAAGAAGTCGAATTCATATTCATATAATTAACAGATTATGTCTTAATTTATAGCTCTCCAACTTTTCTCCTTATTATGTACTTTACTCTTACCAGTGAAAGCAATATTAATGTATTAATCTTCATATTCTTGTAAATACTTTTAGCACTGATTGACACAAATTATAAAACTTTGCACTGGACATTTAATAAACTAGAGCCTATGAAGGTTTCTTTCTTTAGAATCCTAGCCCTATTTATAGCTGTAGCTTTATACTTTTATGTAAATAATTACCTTAATGATTTGGCGAAATAAATAAATAAGAAATCTTCTAGGATAAAACAAATAAACAATCGTCACTCTGTAGAAAGCCGCCATCTTTGTTTTACGGCCTGTTCGCAGGCATACAGCCCTAATTCGTTGACCTGAGTGTTTAACGCACGCACAAACTCGATAGCATAGTATCTAGCGCTCCGCGCAGATACAAAAACCCATGCATAGAAATCACACAACCATTATATTGTTAGTAGCTAAAGGCAATGCAATCAATATATAATTACAAAACACATATTAGAAAAAATATTAATAAATCAATAAACTTACCGACTCAGTAAAATATGACTTTTCTGATTTGCAAAATTGCAACACGTGGAGATTCCATGATTTAGCTGCCGCACTTGTACACACGTAAAATTCTCACATCTTGTAACAAGTCTGCCAAAAAGCCGTCAACAAGATGTATTCGCACTGCTTGTCACAAGTTGTTATCAGGTTTGGAACAAGTTGTAACAACCTTGTCGAAGTTATCAGACTTGTTGCAAGGTTGTTCTGACAAGTCTGTTACATGCTTGATATAACAAGATTGTTATAACCTTGTGTTGACAACCTTGTAACATCCTTGTTATATCATGGTTGCAACAAACTTGTTAGCACAGTCTTGTAACAAGGCTGATAATGCCATCAAGCTTGTTACAAATTGTTAACAGCTTGTTTCAAACTTGTTACAACAAACTGGGAACAAGCAGTGTGAAGACAACTTGTTGACAGCTTGTGAACAGACTTGTAACAACTTGTTTGCGGACTTGTTATAAGCTGTGCGTTTTTACATGTGTAGGTGAACTCAGCGTATACATATAAAAATGCACAAGTTGTAACAAACCTGCAGCAGACTTGTAGCAATGCTGCTACAACAACTTGTCAACAGGATGTGTTCGCACTGCTTGTTCCCAGCTTGTTGACAAGTTGTCAACAGCTTGTTGACAACTTGCTACAAGGTTGTCAAACTCAACAGACTTGTTACAAGTTGTTCCAACAGCAATTCAACAATTTGTCAACAAGTTGTGAGTGACAAGCTTGTATAAAGTAACAGAATTTTTACAACTTGTTGACAAGCTTGCTACATGTCTGTTGCGAACACATCTTGTTGACAAGTTGTGAGATTTTTACGTGTGTAGATCTCAGCATTTTCTTTACAGGTGGAGTTTCATCTGATTCCGTTTCTTCATCAATAATATGGAGACCAGAGGATGAAGGTACACCTTCTTTGTCCATATTCTGACAACGCTCTTGAGCTCGGTTGATCATACTGCTATTTGTGAATGCCGAGTAACAACTTCAATGATATAAAGAGAATTTGCATCGATATTTTCGACCGTGCTACTTCCATGCTGTCGCTAACAAATTGCAAACTTCTTTGAGCAACATTGCGTTCTTCCCCGTCTAGCGTTAGCCAAATTCTACGACAATCTAAAAATTTTTGATACGAAACCACACTAAAACTTGTAAGTGGGCCTTTTTTCCCATCAAAATGAATTAAACATGAATCAGAAGACGCCATGTTTACAAATGCTAAGCTGGAAACTTCATGTAAGAATGAGCATGAGCCCGCGAAAATCGGCATTTAGAGTGTTTATTACACCAAGTATCCTGAACAAAAATGGCGGCGATCGATTCCGAAAGGTGAAGGCTATTTCAGATACGGTAGAGCACCTAGTCATACCTAGTCCCCAGGCCTTTACCAGCGCGACCGCGAAATTCAATATGGCGCCAAGCTAAGGAGTGGAGTTCAAATGGAGTTTATATTCTATAATTTCTATTGTTGTCTTATGATCTTTTTATTCTTTTTGGTTGGTAGAACTTATATTCTGATATGCCAGGTATCTTACTCTTTACCTGATTAATCTGAAAAAAGATTTTATAACAGAATTTTTCTCAAACATAGTTTAAATTAATATCTATATGTTTCAGTGAATGATATGCTTTAAAAGTAAAAAATAGATTGGCCAAGATAAGAAATTTTTGACACTTTCAACTTCAATTTTGAAAATTGTAATAACAGCCTAGTTTATATTCCATAATCCACAGAGCTTGAAAATCCATGCGGAATGTACAAATTATTGACTTTTCGTGTGAAGTTCTGTTTGAATTTTTCAGGTACTAAGTTATATCTAGTTATCTTGTTATCGTCTCTATCTAGCCTAGCACAGACCGTTCAAGATTGCACTGTTTAATTAGCACCAACACTAACAGTCATGGCGGCAGGGATGGATCCAGCATGATCTGGTAGGAGGGGGGGGTTAATCTGCCAGCTCTAATGCCGAGTTATGTTGGTCATGCATGCCACCCGCCCATCAACTTACAGGTCAAGTCTTGCTTGACTACTGTATTTGAATTGTAATTGTTGTTCACAGTTCGCTTATCATCATGTTATTACTCAAATTACTGTATCTTATTGTGCCTCTAATAATTTTTTGCTTTATCATGAAAAATAACACACACACCCTCTGGCCAGGGCGTGCACCTCCCAGTAAAGCCATCCCTGTCATTAACAGTAGGGTATAATGGACCAAGCCATCCCCTTTAATGTGTTTCTTTAGTTGGGAGAGGAGTTCTAAGGCCCTTCATAATTTTTGAAGATTACATTACATAATACAATATTAATTTTACTCATTGCAAACAGTAAGTTACAAATGAGCTTTGTATTCCATAGAATGCAAAGTATTTAACTATTTCTGGGTAAAGTTAGATTTTAAGTTGTTTTTAAGAAGTTAAAGCTGATCACATAATCAATCTATTTTTTGGGTCACTTGGATATACCCTGCAAAAATAGCACTTTCCTTTTATTTTACAACTTGAAATTCACATTCTATTAGACACTAGGGGCATATGGAGTACTCATCAGGGGCGGCGGAACCGGGGGGGCTAGGGGGGCAAAAGCCCCCCCAGAAGTAAGCCCCCCCAGAAAATTTAGTTTTTTCTGGAAAAATTTAGATAATTAAAGAAAAATTTAGGTTATTTTTTGAAAATGTAGGTATAAGGGGGAAAAATTTACAGTATTTTGTTTAAAAAGTGTATTTCTTGAAAAAATTTTTGTTATATTTCCGGAAAAATTTTTTTCATCCCTTTTCTTGTATGTGTCGGGGAAAAATTTTTGTACCCCTAAAATGGTACACTGACCGAAAATTTTTTGGCGACGGGGGGGGGGGCTGTCACGGAAAAAAAATTTTAGCCCCCCCAGAATGAAATCTGTTCCGCCACCACTGGTACTCATTTTCCAGAATCTTAATTATGGGTAGGATGAAATCTCAGTGTTCCCCGTGAAGGGCACCCTTGACCCAGGGCCATCCTTAGGGATTCTTCAGGGGGGTGTAAGGTCATTTCAAATGATTGAAGAACAGGGCCGCCGAGAGGTTGACGGGAGCTCAGACGAAATAATATTAATTAATTATTATTAATTTATTTATAATAATTATTATTAATTTAATTAATTAATTAATTATTAATTTAATTAATTAATTAAATTAATTATTTAAATTAAAATTTCCAAACACTGCATAAAGGTTAGCCCAGGGACCTTCCTTGACAAGGCACACCCCCTGGGCCCCTGGCTCTTGCTAGGCACAGCCCTTAGGAGTTATGCCACTGAGGAGTGAACATCTGACCATTATTCCAGCTGGTTTGCTGTACTACTTCTATTTACTTGAGCATAAAATATCATAGTAGAAGAGCTAATTCAATCATAAAATGTTGAGTTCATAAACCATGGTATGCAGGGCAAAGGTACAGAAACGTCTAGTGGCAAGGGTCGACCAGAGGGTGGGTACAATTGCATCTGACTGATTTCCCAATGAGTATGGAATACTCAGGATTACCAAGTTAATTGGTCTTGTGGAATTTTATGTGTATTATGTCTATAATACCAATGGAGAAAGTGCATTACCACTTGCAATCTACAGCATTGATTTATTTTTCACAATTCTGCAAACTATTAATGGCAGCTGGCAATGTCACATGTAACAGAAGGCCGTCAGAAGTGCGGGGCTTGAGCCCCCCCTAAAATTTCCATTTGTATAAGCAAAACACACAAAATAACTAGAAAAGTGCAAAAGCAATTAAAATTTATTCAGATATATTCTTGAGTCCCCCCAATATTGATTTACTTCCGATGGCCTTGTAATATCCTGCCCAGATTTTTTTTAATTCTATAACGCCCTGTATACAAGGTTAGTACCCTATTGAATAACTTGCACACCTGACACCACTATAAAGAAAAATGGGCCGGCCATTGCTAATGTGCCAGTTGAAAGGTAAGCATGAGCTACTAAGTGTGTTAGCTTATTTAGGTCATGGAACAAGACAATTACAAAAGTAGTAAAAGAGGACACATTAGTTGTGAATATATGTTTTTTTTGCTATTCTCACGATAATGTTCACCCAGCATGAAATGAAAAGGTAGTTCACAACCTGTGCAGAGTCCATTTTGCATGTTGGCACACAATTTGGCATTAAAATTGTATATTGTTGATTGCTAGGGGAACAGGTGAGGACTCTGAACCCGGCATTGCTTGACGAGTAAGATACTTCCCAATTACACATACCACATGAAATATCTAAGGTTACAAGGTGGCAATATATTTGTAATACTAATTATATACAATATCTCAAATGCTCAGATGTATGGTAAATTAAATTTGAAGTGCACCCCCCCCTTTAGATTTTTACACTCCCCTGTTGGCCAAGGGTGTGTACCTCTGTCAACCCCCCTCCCCTCCCCCTATAAACCCAACTGTATGTTGGGATGGATTTACTGGGGGGGGTGCACCTCCCTAGCCTGGCCAGGGGGGGGGGTGCTATTTTTCATGATAAAACAAAAAAATATTATAGAGACAAAATGAGATGTAGTAATTTGAGTGATATCGAACAACAATTACAATTCAAATACAGTAGTCAAGCAAGACTTGACCTGTAAGTTGATGGGCGGGTGGCATGCATGACCAACATAACTCCGCATTAGAGCTGGCAGATCAACCCCCCCCCCCCTCCTACCAGATCATGCTGGATCCATCCCTGCCACCATGACTGTTAGTGTTGGTGCTAATTAAACAGTGCAATCTTGAACGGTCTGTGCCAGGCTAGATAGAGACGATAACAAAATAACTAGATATAACTTAGTACCTGAAAAATTCAAACAGAACTTCACTTGAAAAGTCAATAATTTGTACTTTCCGCATGGATTTTCAAGCTCTGTGGATTATGGAATATAAACTAGGCTGTTATTACAATTTTCAAAATTGAAGTGGAAAGTGTCAAAAATTTCTTATCTTGGCCAATCTATTTTTCACTTTTAAAGCATAATTCACTGAAACATATAGATATTAATTTAAACTATGTTTGAGAAAAATTCATTTATAAAATCTTTTTTCAGATTAATCAGGTAAAGAGTAAGATACCTGGCATATCAGAATATAAGTTCTACCAACCAAAAAGAATAAAAAGATCAAAAAACAACAATAGAAATTATAGAATATAAACTCCATTTAAACTCCACTCCTTAGCTTGGCGCCATATTGAATTTCGCGGTCGCGCCGGTAAAGGCCTGGGGACTAGGTGCTCTACCGTATCTGAAATAGCCTTCACCTTTATATAGAGCCTGCGACTTTTATTGATATTTTTTCAATACGCCCCCTTTGAGATAATTGAATATCCGGTAAATAGTAGCCAATCAAAGCAAGTTTTGTTAATTAGATTACCAGAGGTTATTAACAACAACAAACAGTTTCTCGCGCAATTTTACGCCTGTTAGCCTGTATCTTTCACTAGGATTCCAAGGTCTAAACTTTAATCTAAAATAATTCATGGTCGTTTTTTCCCTAAAGTATTCTAATATTTAAAACATAGTCCCGTTTGTATATTGCTGTCTTGTTCGTACATTGCCGTTTTAAATTATGTAACTATACTACAGAGACGTAAAATTTTACTCTATTAGTTAATGTATTTTATATATTTATATCCAAAATATAATTGTAAGATTTAAGGAAACGTATTTAGGTTTTGAACAAAGTAACAAACACTATTTATTAAAAGTGTCGAACAATAGCAGGCTAAAAAACAACATTAATCATTATTGCGTGAAGTCTGTCATTTGCTCAATAATACAATTAACTCAATAGACAATAGACAATTTGAAAACCCGTGGCCGTGGCATCGATTCTGCCGTGTTTAATAACTACATTTTTTTGTAAAAAGCTCTTGTTATAATAATATATGTCACTAGTTGAGACTCCCAAAAATAAAGTCTCGAAAAGAGAGCGGACTTCGGTCAAAAACACGCAAACGACTATTGCAAAATTTCCAGGTGTAAATTCAAATTGGCCAGGTGTTCTAAGAACGACTTTCCTCGACGGCGGCTGTTTTAATAATTTGCCCATTGTCTTGACTTATTCAAGACCAGATTGTTTAGGCAGAAAGCCTTGGGTTGACAGGGAAGTATTTGGGAGAAATGTTCGGAGGCATTTGACAATCAACTGCTTTGTACTAGCTGATTCACTGCCTGTGTCTCAACGAACGTCTCGCTGGGCTAACCTTAAGTTGTTCAACGTTTGAAACCGCAAGTGATGCAAACGCGGTTAGATAAATTGTCAGCCTGAACTAGACTTATTTTACTCTCTCTGCAAAGATCAGCAAGGCATACGTCGAAGTTTTCCCTTGTACTTCTTTGGAAAAGGTTTATTATTATAGCTGACGAAGACAAAGTATCGGTATATTACATGTAAACTTTATCAAATCCCGTTGGAAGTACAGTTAATATTGCTAACCTTCGCTCATCCTTCAACGTTAATTTAAATTGAAAGGTTTCTCAAATACATTCAGTTACTTCTTCGAAGAGATAAACAAAGTCATGGTTTTATACGCCACTGATTGAATGCCAGCTTTAAAATTACATTGCGAAATGTCGTACGAGTTAAATATTTGCACGATATTAACTCATGGGGCACTTCTGACCAATGGGAATTTTGCGTACGCTCCGTACGCATAAATCGACTTTTTAGGCTGTACTAATAGTATACTATTCGTTCAAAAAATGCGCGCATTTCGGGGACTGCATGGTTCTAGAATGTTTCATAAGCAGAAAACCACCAAAATTA